AGGCTGCCCGGGGGCGCGGAGCCGGCGCCGGCGCGCGCGGGCGCAGGAGGCGACTCGAGGCGCGATGTCGGTGCCGCTGCTCAAGATCGGGGTTGTGCTGAGCACCATGGCCATGATCACCAACTGGATGTCCCAGACGCTGCCCTCACTGGTGGGCCTCAACACCACCAAGCTCTCTGCGGCCAGCGGCGGGACGCTCGACCGCAGCACCGGCGTAAGTCCCCGCCGCCGCCCCGCGGGCCCTCCCGCCGCTCCCTCCGACCCCGACCCCCGGGCTGGGCGGCGCCCAGTAGGGCGCAGGGCCAAGGGCACGGGCAAGGGTCCCCTGCGGCTTTCCCAGTGGGCGGGGTGACCCCGTCCCCGTGCTGCCCGGCTGCCAGTGGCCTGCCCTGGTCCTCAGGGGCACCGCCTCCTTCCTTTGCTGGGTTTCCTCGCGGGGCAGGGGCCTCAGGGACGCTGACGCTTCGAGTCCCCTTCAACTAGTAGTAAGTCCCTCACTGACAAGGTCAGGAAACTGAGGCAGGGCACTTGGGGACTTGTCCAAGGTCACTCAGCAAGTAAGGGGTGGGGATGCCTCTGCTCCACCCTGTCGGGCTGGTCCAGCCAGGGCTCGAGCGGAGCCCGCCCTACTTTGTGCGAGCCAGCGGGACTGGACCGCGGGAGTGGGCCGGCGGGCGGGGGAGCTGGCAGCTCGCACTGGATCAGGCTCCTTTCCGGGCTCTTCCCTACGCCGGGTCCCTCAGGATCCTGGAGCCCCAAGGTGCAGTGGCCCGGGTGGGGCCCTGGGAGGCACTGGCTGTGGCGCTGGCCCCCTCTCCGTCCCATCAGCCCTCCTTCCTGCCTCCCAGGTGGCTTTTTCTTCCCTTGTCAAGGCCTTGGTGTGGGGTGGGGGGAGCAAGTGGCCAGGGCGCCTGTGGGCAGGGCTGGCTCAGATGGTGGCTGGAGCTGCGTGAGCCAGGCTAAGCGGGAAGCACCCCTGAGCGGAGGAGGATGTGAGGAAGGGCCCCAGGCTGGCTCCCTTGGAGGCGGAGGGGGGTGGGGGGAGGCGGCAGGAGGCTTCTCTCCCACCTGGTTTGGGCTGCCCAGGGCACAGTGCTCTGGGAGGATGTCTCCACGTGACCCCTCCCAAGACCCTCGTCACGTTCACCCCACCTTGTGTCTCAAGGGTGACATCCAGGGTGCTTTCATGATGACTGTGCTCCTGAGTCTGGGTCCTAAGCTGCTGGGGTTGGCGATGAATGAAGCAAGTGGACAGCTACTATAGATTCTCCACCCCAGCCCCACGCTAAAAATAGCAGGGAGGTGACCTGAGGCGACAGGGCAGGCTGCGGGGGAGGGTCTGTGCTCCGGGAGTGTTTCCGGACAGTGGCGTCGCCCCGTGCGTGTGCCTGGCGCTCCACACCTGAGCCGGGCTGCAAGGTGACATCAGCCCGGCACAGCTCTGGTCTCTCGGTGGTCCTCGGCATGCCCCAGGACCGAGGTTGGCTGTGAGCTGGCCCCTCATGTCACCAGAAACTTGGTGAGATCCGCACCATGACTCGTGGGTAGCAGCCCTCGTGGAGTCGGAGAGCCGGCATGTCCTCGGACAGCGTCTCAGGCTGCCTGCGGGGTGACAGCCGGGCCGCGGGTCGCTGCAGCTCTGGGCGAACGGGCTGCCGGATGCCGGCCGTTACCCCGGGCGCTTCATCTCCGGGCGTCAGGGACGGCGTCGCGAGGCTGCGCCAGCCACCCCGGCTTGCTTACGGGGAGGAGATCTTGTTTCCGAATTGCGTGCTGCTGTGAGTCAACCAGCCCCTGCTTTCTTGCCTGACTCCTCAGTCGGGGCGTGTGGCCCCCCCGCTGCTACCCAGCCCAGCCATTCGGTCACACGCCAGGACACCAGACATCCCTGGAACCGAAAAGTCTCCTGAATTGGAACAAAATTTCAAGTCTTGCCTGTTCGGCTTCCTCGCAGCCCCCGGGGGACCTCGATGGGATTCTGCCCCTTTGTTCTCAGGGGCTCCTGCCCCTCCCTGGGGTCAGAATGTGTCTTTGGCCCGTTTTTTGTCCTTCTCTGCCAGGGGTCGGACTTGGGCAGCCCTCCCTGGTTGTCGTTCCCGGTGAGCCGCCTTCTGGTCTCACTTGTCTCCCTCTCGCTCCCTCACCCCCACCCCCGCATCCAGGTGTTGCCCACCAACCCCGAGGAGAGCTGGCAGGTGTACAGCTCCGCCCAGGACAGCGAGGGCAGGTGCATCTGCACAGTGGTCGCCCCCCAGCAGACCATGTGTTCACGGGATGCCCGCACGAAACAGCTCAGGCAGCTACTGGAGAAGGTGAGTCTGTGCGGGGCGCGTGTGTGCGCGCATGTGCCCATCTACGTGCGTGTGTGCGCCCACACCAGCACCCAGGGTGGGCTAGCCCCAACGGTCCGTCCCAGCTTCAAGACCGCCCTCTTTCTTGGCGTGTCCAGACTCAGAATGTCTGTGAATGAATGAATGGGTGGATGGAGACCCCCCATGCCCCACAGAAGGTGCAGGAGGAGATGAGTCAACCCTGCTGGTCACTCCACGGAGGAGCCGCGTGGGCATGGGGAGAGGGGACGAGGGCGGCTCCCCCCGGCCATTGTTTCCAGCGAGGCGGAGACCTATAGTCCGGAGGGCTCAGGGCTGTGGCTGAGCAGCCACCAGGGAGAGCACCCCAGGAGCCCCTTGGGTCTCAGCCGATGGGCTCTTTTGCTGCCCACGGGAGGTGGGATCTGCCAGTTGCAGGTCTAGGGGTACAAGTGCACCCAGAGTCCGCCCCTCAGCAGCCGCGGGCAGCAGCGCTCTGTGGGTCCAGCACGCATTTTAAACTCGTCATTTCAAGACCCTTCACAAGAATCATGTCAACTCGGTGAGATTTTTCACCTGGTTTCGTCGCCCATGTACGCACACGGACACCGCACACCCGCGCACATGCCTGCACTCACCACCCACACATCCCACGTACACACCCCCACACCTACACACCGGATACACACGCACCCCACATACACACGCACCACACATACACACACACGACTCATACACCCACCACACATCCCCCACATACATGCCCACACCCACATAAACACACACACACACACACACACACCCCGTAAGACACGATTTTTCCAGTTGAGGAGTAAGGGGTGGGGCGGGGCCTGAGCCCCTCGGAAGCCATTCCCCACCCCTCCCCCAGCTGTGATCCTCGCTGGGGCAGGTCGTGGCCCTGGCAGCTGGAGGGAGGACAGCCCAGCACACGGTGCTAGGTCAGAACTGCTCAGTTTGAGCCCAGCTCAGCCGCCGCCTCTCATACAACTGCTGGCAAAGCAGGTCCTTGTCGTAGCTTCAGTTTCCCAAAGTGGGGAGGGAAGGAGTGGGTAAGCGATTCCTGGGTGCTCCCAGCTCTGCGCTGTCCCCAGGATGGTGTTGTGGGGGGCGGGGAGAAGGGCACGGAGGCCTCTGGCTAGGCCTGGCCCCTGCACCTGCTCCGGGTGAGGGGCAGTCTTTGTTCTGCCGTCTGTAGCCCACCCAGTATGTCATTTAGAAAGAATTAAAGTAAAATGCATTTAGCAGATTCCACAAACGTTCATTAACACTAAACTAGACCAAAGCCTAATTGGGCCTTTAATTATTCAGAATTGCAGAGGAAGGAGGTGGAGCTGGGAGGGGCCTCTGGGACCTGGAAGGGGGGCAGGGGGGAGGGCGGGAGGGGGCAGGCTGCTGCCCTGGAGCTCTTGGGGGAGGTGCCCTCTGGATTCCAGAAAGCTCTCCCCCGGGAGCGCAGGCCTGGGGCCCTTCTTCCTGCCTCCATACTCTACCATGTCGGGGCTGGAAGATTTAAAGCCCTATTTTATACCTCAGTGGGCACTGTGTTTTCAGAGGGCAGCAGCCTTTTGTTGTAAAAGAGGGCCGCAAGGCTTCCTGCGTTCAGATTGTGCTGGGGTTGGGGGCAGGGATGCTCCTTCCTTGGAGGGGGTGGTTCTCCCCGTGCCTGAGGTACGTGGCTCTGGTGGTGTGTTCCCTCAGATGCCCCAATGCCGACCTGTGGCCGGGGCTGAGGGCCACAGGCAACCCGCCGAGTGGAAAAGGCGTGTTGGGGCCGCGGGTTATGTTCTCTTTGAAAAAGCCGTCAGCCCTGACTTTGGAAGTGTGGGCTTTGGAGGCAGGCCAGGCTTTGGATCGTTGCTGACCGCTGTGGGATGGCAGACAAGCTGCTTAACTTCTCTGGGCCTCGGTCTCCTTCTGTGTGGCCTGGGACTTGAGACCGCGCTCACCTGCCAGGGTGTTGTAAAGATCAGATCAAATCAGTGAGTGGATGGGCTCAGCCTGGGGGGACCGTGTCGTTTGGGAACTGTGTGACCTTGAGCTCATCAGTTGGCTTCGAGGGACACAGCCTGCTGGAAAGAGAATGGATGGCCCCGGGGCTGGGGCGTAGACCGGGTCTTCTTGAGGGAGAACACCCACCTGGGAGTAGTTGTGCCTCTTGGCCCAGTCGTCTGCTTTATGACCGGCCCGAGAGGGGGTCCTCGCTGCAGGTGGGACGGACAGTAGGAGAGTCTGCGTTTTGTTTTAGGGTAGTGGAGTCATTTGGCATCTTTAAAATTGGTTTTCTCAATCTTAAATTTAATCTCACTCAAAATCCATGAAAAGCATCCCTCGTCTGGCAGAGGAGAAGCCCGTTGCTCTGCGTGTGGCCCCTGTCGGAGGGCAGAATCTGGAGCTGATGCCGACCCAGCAGCTTCAGCTCAGCCCACGGTATCGGTGGACGCGCCAAATGACTCNCTCTTGTAGGTTTTGCCAACACAGCAGGAACACTGAGTCTCAGGAGGGGAGGGGGCTCTCGGCTGGGGAGGCCATTGTGTTCCTCCTCTCAACATTGTGGCTGTAGGAGGACCTATGTGCATTAGGGGCAGGGACGGGGTGGGGGTGTGGGGGGGGGTTGCTGGGGTTGTGGGCAGCCCCGGGCCCCTCCCACCTCACGTTTCCCATCCAGCCAGCTGGTTGAGACAGATGTGTGTGTGGTTACTGCCGGGCAGGCATTGCGCCAACGAAGTGATGCCGTTTCCAAGTAGTAGGCAGCCACTTCTGGCTCTGGTGCATCCTGGAAACCTCCCTGGAGGAGGTGGTATTGGGGCTGGGCTTTAAAATATGAAGGAAACCAAAACTCACAACTCTTCTCCAAGGAAGTCCTGTGGTTATTGGGTGTGACAGAATTGGACAGGTGAGGGGGCAGGGAGAGGGTAAGAGAGCAAATGTTTCCAGTTCTCCATAGAAAGGACCAGAGAGTATCTGAGTCACCCACATACGGTATTTTACAAACCCGAATTTTTAAACTGGATTTGTGTGTTACTTTTAAATAACTAGTCATAAAATCCCAGGCATTTAAAAATGCTGCAGTGAGTAATATCGGTTTTTCTCCTACCGAGAAGCATTTCGCTTGTGCTCTTACTTTATTTACGGGGGTGGAGGCTATACCGGAAGTGGTGGAAACCGCACTGTCATCTTTTCACTGACCGAGTCAAGCTACGGGTCATACCCAAATGATTCCGTGCCTAAAAAGGGAGAGGATTTTCAAAGGCAGCAGGAAATCAGAAATGGAGATCTGTGGTGGTTGTGAAGTGTCTTCCTCCCTGGTGATTGGATTCAATTCCGAGAGTGACCCGAACGCCACCGCACAACCCTGAACTCCATCTGCTCCCCCCACTGCCCCAAATGCATGTGCACAGAAGCACCAGCCAGTTTCCCCAAAAATAAAACGCCCTGGCAGGTGGTTGCACTGAAACTGTTTTTCTTTTAAGCTCTCTGGAATCCTGTTGAATATTAAAGTTCCATCTTGAGGTTAGACTCAATTCAGGTCTGTCTGCAAAGACGTGAAATAGCGATTCTTCACTGGCTGAGTGATTGATTCCTGACTCTATGCATGGAACGCGGATGTTTGCAGAGCAGTCATCTGCCTATGATACCGGGAGGGGTGATGGATGGTGCGTGAGATGGGGACAAGTGTTGACACAGAGTCAGAAAAAGCAGTTCCCTTGTAGCTTGGCTCCCTCGTGCCCCCCACCTTTGCATCAGGATCCCCATGAGATGTAGGGGGACGGAGAGTCTCCAGCCAGGGTGGGGGAAGCCCAACAGCACCGTTCAGACTGGCTGGTATTTAAGCCTGCCTATCCGGTTTCATCCTGCAGAATAAGGAGACTGAGACACAGTCCCCTCCCCACTGACAAAAGAAAGGAAAAAAAAAAGTCACCCAAAGCCTCGTATGCCTGGAGCTGGGAGCTGAGGGAGGACCTGAGGCTCCTGAACCCCTGATTTGCATCCCTGGCTGGAAGAGAAAGCATTCTGGAACATGGCAGAGGAAACGTTTCCCAAACCAATTTGCAGTGTTTGGGGAGTTCTTGGTCATAACACTCCCCGATGCTGGTGATTAACTAGTAAATAATGCATGGACCGCCTCTGGCTCCCAGTGTGTCGGCTGCGTGGGAAAGGTCACTGTCGTGTATTTGGAGGCAAATAAGACGGGCAGGCACCCACTACAGCTCCTTTCTTGAACCTGTTGCCTTTTTGACAGGTGCAAAACATGTCTCAATCCATAGAGGTCCTGGACAGGCGGACCCAGAGGGACTTGCAGTATGTGGAGAAGATGGAGAACCAAATGAAGGGACTGGAGTCCAAGTTCAAGCAGGTGGAGGAGAGCCATAAGCAACACCTGGCCAGGCAGTTCAAGGTACGTGCGCTGCTCCTCCTCTGAGTCGAAGCTGGGCTTGGTTTCCCTTCGCGCTTTCCCCTTCCCCTCCAGAAAGAGGAACTTGGGGCCGGGGAGGAGCCCAGCAGAAATGGGCCTTTGCCTTGCAAATGGCCGCCGCTGTCCTTGGAAATGGAGAGGCAACCGGCCCTCGCTCTCTTTTGGCGAAAGACACAGTCAAATGGGAAGATAGAGCCGCAGTTTTCAGCCCCCATGAGCTTCCCAGGCCAGAGTCCCAGGACCTGGCTTCTCAAGCCAGGTCATAGATTAGCTGGGAAGGGACAGGATTGGTCCTCGTCATTCGGCAGCTGCTGTAGGTAAATCACATTAGCCAAGGATTAGCTTAATTGATTAGAGCCATTTCTGAGCAGGGATCAGTCGGGGCAATTTTTCACATCTGACCTAATTTAGCTATGACAAGGCACACTGTAGATTTGTAGGGAGGAAAGAGAGAGACACCAACATCTTTCTCACTTCCTGGTAAGTGTTTTTTCTTTTTTTTTTTTTCTCTCCAGGTCTCTCTGGACATTAAAGCCAGAGTTTGGCCTAAAATTATATATACATATATAGAAATATGTATATATATACATATATATACCTTAAGTTTACTCAGCTTCAAAATGATTAAATTGAAAAATTATATGCACCTTAATTAAGGCACACGTGCATGTTAATTACTAATCTAGCCCAGATATAAATGAACAGGTCAAATTACACAGCCCTGCTTGACTAGAAATTGCTGACGCTCTGTCTTCCAGTCCTTCTTATGCTAATGTTTTCCTTTGATATGCTCCCTGCATGAAGCAAGAAGTAATCCACTTTTAAAACTGATACATTATACAGACGAAACGGCAGGCTAACGAAGTAGTAAATCTATATTATAAATAAAATAATAGCAGGCCTGATCCTATCGAGGAGCAATGAGCCAGTGGCTCATGGTGGAGGCAGGTGACTATGTTGTCCTTGCTTCTGATGTCATCATCGTGGTGAATTATCTCGGAGAGAGATTTTTGACCTGCCTGACCAAAAAGAGTTTGTGTCTCTCCCTGAAAACCCAGCATTCCCTGTGCCATGCTAGAGTCTGAGTCCTTTGAAGACAGGGGTGTCTTTAGTGGCCATGAGCTAGCTCATCTTTGCAAGCACTGTCCACACGGGCATCTCTCCCAGTTCCAAAATTTGGGGCAACATGGCCCCAGGGGAGGAAAAGCAATCCCTTGCCTTTGACCATGCTTTAATTGCATTAAGAATTACACCAGGAATTGTGAGAGAATCTCTATAACTGTTAAAGCAGTTGGTTTGGACTAAATCTAGCAATGGAGTGTGTTTTGTTTTGTTTTTTAAGTGACCGTGAAAATATTTGTCTATTAATGGCTGTCTGTTTAAGGCAGGCTAGTGAGGCAGCTCTTCAACGGTATTTCGTTTTCTTGCTTGCAGGGCTAACTTAAAAGCGTTTTTTCAGTGCCGCAGTGACTGAAGATGCAGTCCACTCCCATGTAACCATGAAAGAGGGTCAGAGAGCTTTTGCACCATGCATTTTTACTATTATTTCCCAATACTTAGCACCATGACACTAAGGAACCTTGAACACAACCAGGACCCTCTTTTGCATGCGACTGTAGCTGCATTCCACGGACAGTTTGAACCCTTGTCAATGCATTTTTTGAAAAAGAAAAAAAAAAAAAGAAACTTTGTGTGTGTGACTAAAAGCATGTAACCTTAAGATGTTGCGTTCTAAACTGACAATAAAGACCTTTCCCAAATATGTTGGTGTTCTGAAGACTGTTTAATATGCTCTTCTAACTCTTTTGGGCCAGAATACATAAACCTATAAATGAAACAGGAGTGTTCACAGACTCCCTCACCCGGGGAGAAGCCAGGCCAAGGCAGGGTGTTGCAAGTTTTTGCACGCAGAGCACTGAACCCAGCTTATTTTAACCTTGCAGGCGATAAAAGCGAAAATGGATGAACTTAGGCCTTTGATACCTGTGTTGGAAGAGTACAAGGCCGATGCCAAATTGGTATTGCAATTTAAGGAGGAGGTCCAGAATCTGACGTCAGTGCTTAACGAACTGCAAGAGGAAATTGGCGCCTATGACTACGATGAACTTCAGAGCAGAGTGTCCAATCTTGAAGAAAGGCTCCGTGCATGCATGCAAAAACTAGGTAGGACCAGAACCCTGCGGGGGCGTGGCGCTGCCCCGCCCACCTCCGCTCACGCACAGGCTTAGGGAGTGGTGCTGAAGCGGACAGCGCCCGCCTGGCTTCAGGGAGGCCGCTGCCGGGGGCGTGGCGCTGCCCCGCCCACCTCCGCTCACGCACAGGCTTAGGGAGTGGTGCTGAAGCGGACAGCGCCC